AAATTTTCTTTAAAAATTATATTTAGCTTATCCACAAATTTATTATTAAATTTTCAAAAAAAATTGCCGATCATAAAAGGATTGTCAATTAACACCTTTGTCACCATGGACTCTGTTGTTTTTCCAAAAAAAAAAAAAAAAACAATTCACGTCTGTCTTACAAAAAAAAAACCAATAGGATAAATAATTAGCGTGTACACATTGATCAAATAACAAACTTCTTTTAATTCTTTTTTTAAAATATGCCACCAAAAAGGAAATTCAATCAAAGAAACAAAGAAAATGATTCTGGTGTCACTGGATAAGTGTTTTAAGGATGGTGGTGGTTATCGCCCGCCACTTATCGTTACTCTAGTTTTAAATAATAATATTTTTGTGTAATAATTTTCCAAGAAATAAAAGAAAACTGGAGAAAGAAAATGTTGGTCCTCTCAACGATATAAACGAATATTGGAATTTTATCGAGCAAAGAAACATAAATCCTCAGTTATTCCATTTTTTACTCTTTGCAGCATACACATCTTGTATTGATTTCCATAAAGATGATGTGGGTAGAGTGAAAGAGGCTTTGTATCATGCTTATCGGGACAAATTGGTAATGATTTTTTTTAATGCTTTGTTAATAAATTTTCTCTATTTACTTAAATAGATATTCTGAGTGCAAAAATATAATTATGATAATTTTTCATTAATGAGAATTTAATCTAATAAAATGATTTTTTGCTTTCCAGGATGAAAATCAAGAAAATATCGATAATATCAACATGTTTTGGAAACTTTGCTCAGATGCGTTTAATTATAACAAATTTACACAGTTTATTTTATTTATTGATAAACATATCATTGAATTAGAATGGATCAACTTAAGAGCAAATTATATTTCATGGCCTCCCATTGATCAACAAGGCAATTATAATATCTTATTATTTTTTTATCAAAATTTTTATTTCAACAGGTGACAAATTTTTATTTGATAATTTGTAAAGTGACATCTGATGATATCATTGATAAACATTTTTTCATCAAACTTGCAAATGAAAAAGTGGATTTGTATTCATTTGTGTTAGAAGATCTTGAAGCAAATAAGATTATTAATAATATCAATGCTTGTGGTCGTATTATAACACCTTTAAAGATAAAAGACAGAACAGATGGTAATTTAATTGATCATATGGATAATTTAGTCCCTTCTCATGTACAATTTTTTGGGAACATTTAACAAAAAAAAGTATAGTAGGTGATAAAAACAATGTATGCAATTTATTATTATATTTTTTTATGTTAAATGTCAATTTTAATTAATAGTTTCTGTTAAATTTAGGAATCATTAACAAAAACTATGATTGATACCATGACGAATAGTATGAACTAAGGTTTCTGGTCCAAACTGTTTCTCAAAGCCCAAACTAGTTTGGGCAATTTGGGCTTCTCAATATTTTTTATAAGCATGAACATTAAAAAACTATATGAATCAACTTGTTTTAACTTAAACAACTTTAAAATAATTTTTGCCCAAAGTATTTGGGCAATTTTGGCTACTAATAGAAGCAGTTTCGACCAGAAACCTTAGTATGAACAGCAATATTAGGGACATATATTATAAATATTTTGATAAAAATGATGATGATACTCCCAACGTAACAATTACAGAAACTTTATCATACTTATGTATAACAAACAATCAAGCATTCCACACGAAACAAAACGATTATAAATTTCATTCCTTTGTTTATGGACCATTTGACAATATAGAGGGTTTTTAAAAGTCAGTTTGAATAATTGTTTTTACATTTACATACAAAGTTTTAAATTATTCTTTATTTTAGAATGCATCCATGGAAATTTGGTGAAGGGAACCATTTCTTGTTTTATCACAAAGAAAACTGTAGATATATGTATGAACCTAACCTGGATGCATTTGCATATGTAAAAGATGGTGATTATTATACATGCTGCCCAAATCCCAAACTATTTGGGATTGTGGCATCCCAAATGCACAAATTAAATTTGGGACAGCCTACTGAAAGATTCCCAAATCCCAAATGTAGATCAGTTTTCCTGCTCAACCAATAAGCACCCAGAATTTGTGAGTGTGATCTATGATCCCTTTATTATCCTGGATGCTTATTGGTCAGAAGAGCAAGTACAGGGATTTGATCTACATTTGGGATGCACAAATTAATTTGGGATTTGGGATTCTGAATTTTTAATTTGGGCGGCATCTATAGTGATTATATCTGCCCAATTTTTCTATCAGAAATTGAATCAGGAAACAATACAACAAAAAATGATAAGTATGTAAATGCTTTTTTATATTTTATTAATTTTCCAAGTATTAAAAGATCTGATTTATACTTATAGATTCAAACTCATCATCACAATGAGCATGGCATTAAAGACCATAGCTTGGTTTGATAGACTAAATGAAAACAATATTGAAAAGGCAATAAATGGCGAGGAAATAAAAATTGTTACTAAAAAAATAATATTAGGTTTATACTTTTATAAAAATTTGAAAGTTGAGCTCCTTGTTGTTTTCTATAACAAGGTAATAAATGAAATTAATTATTGATTTTATACTTTTATTATATATTTAAATATACCAAGATTAATTCCTGGATATTTTATAGGATATGTGAATGTATAAAACAGTTTGATGTTAATAAAATTGAAGATTTACTTGAATATATAATTATGATATGCAACTACACTGATAACATTTACAACAAGGAGTTTGAAACAATTTGCTTAAGACAACATTTAAAAAAGTTGATGATGAATAGGTCACTGTATAAAAACAACACAACTGGTTACTTAATGAGCAAAAAATCCACATCACATAAAAGGTCTTTAAAATAAAACAAATTGATTATTTCATATTTTACATTTACACTTTTCTATTACTATAATAAAATAACCTTGCACTATTAATATTATTGATATTTAATATAGTTATATTTTAAAACCTATGGTGCACCAACCATGAAGTCTACATTATTTGACATTTAAAATGAGGGTGGCTTTATTTGAAATATTTTTATCCCTGCTTTAAATGATTTAAAATTTATTTAAAATGTAAAATTTTTTATTTTAAATGTCACAAATATTACTTAAAATGGCATCACATGAATTGGAACACTTTTTTGAAAAAACATTACAAATTTAGCAATTAACATTTTAAACGAAAAACCTTTCATTTTAAATTAAAATACTAAAAAAAATCATGAATTTTTCCAAATTTATTAATTTATTTCTAATTGAAAAAAAATATTAATAAAGAAATTATATTTCTTATTTTACAGATATTGCACTTCCCAATAAAAGAATACATCTTTCCATATTAATTGCTTTGTTATATTAATTGAATCATTAAGTTGTTGAATT